AGCCCAAGACACACATACCAATTAAAAGAAATGGGAGAAGTGCTGACCAGAATGGTTTGGCTGCTGGCAAATTAAAAAGCTTTGAAGAGACTCTGACTTCTAAAGTGGAAAGAAGAGAACAATATATGACAGCAAACAGTAAACTGTTAATGACTTATTTCTATTAAATGTTAATATTCCATAAATCTGCACTTAAAACAAAGGTCCAGTTATATTTTTTTCTTCCACCTCTAGCAACCACAATAGAAAGGCTTTTTTTTTCCAGAGGGAGACTATATACACAGAATCCTGATGGTGAGCTGCCTTTCGAAACAAACAAAAGCCAATTTATTCCTAGGGAGACAAGGCTTAGATTGAAAAGAGAGCATACTTAGTCATAATAGGAAAATCAGCTCAGACCAGGAGATTTCCACCTTGTCTCCAGCAATTCACTCTCTTGCCCAGATTTATCCTTATTGCAAAGGTGGTTTTAGACACACAATTTAACATGAAGGTAATCACTGCTCTCATTCACTGTTGCGAAAGAGGCTGTAAAAGCTTTGCCAAGAGACTGTGTCCACAAACATTTTTGTGAAGTAATCAGCATACATATTTGGTTAGAACAAACTCTGAGCCTACATTAACAACAAATTTGAGTGGATTACTTCTCCTTCTGTAGATGCTTAAAAACAGAAGTATCTGATAGAACTGGAGATAAAGGTAGAAAGTAGCTCCTCTGCATAATCTTTAAATTAAAGCCAAGATGTTCAAGGCTAGATTTTTAAAAAAATCCCCCAGTCAACCAAACACCTTGATTTCCAGGACTGTAAGAGAAGATTGTCAGATTTGTGGTACACACCCACATGCAGGACTTAAAACTGCTGAGTATGCATCAATCCCACCAAGGAGTGACTCTGCTACACCCAGAGGTGGGTTCCTAACCACCACACCTGTCAGGGAGCAAGTCTTCAGGAACAGCAAGTGAGCTTTTGTCTACCTGGGACCTAAAACCTCAGAATTTCTCATACAGACAGAAGGCTACAGTTACTCTTCCAAAACACTCTTGGATCTTAGTTTTAAACTAAAGCATGACTTGCAAGGGAAATGGTGGAGCTCAGGCCTTTTCCATAAGATAACTTTTCTTGGACATGGTAATTCAAGCAGGGTACCATCTAGGTGCACCCAGAAAGAAGCTGCAGAGGCAGCTGGTATTGTCCAGTGTTTAAGATCACCATGAAACAACACTGATTTACTACTCTGTATTTGTCACTTGTCCTACTTAAATCCCCAACTACCAAAAATGAAGTCTCCAGCCCAGACACTAGGTTTGGAGTGGCTTGGATTCCCAAGAGAATTCTAACATTAAGAGCGACATTTTGCTTCACTACTTATATTTGTATATATTCATCCAAATCAAATAAAAATATGTATCTGAAACAATGACTGAATTTCTATTTTTTTTCATTCCAAGAGTATCAGAAGAATAACACCTTGTTAGCCCTTCACAGGAACTTTACACTTGGGAAAAAATATAAAATCTGGGAAAAAGAGATTGTGTGGACTTAAAAAAAAAAAAAGACAAAAATATGTACACTATTACTTTTACCCTTCTTCTGAACTTGGTGACAGTAACAAAGGTTAATGTTTTTCCCTTATGACAATCTTTATTATCATCTGTCCTCAGTGGTTTCTGTCACAAACAGTAATTGCAGTAAAAATCTGCTGCCCTAATCATTAGGGTTGTATTGATACATATATATATATATACATATATATATATATATATATATATA